GCAGAATTGTCACGGCAGAACAGGCGAGTTGACAATATCAAAGAATGGCATATCTGTTTGGGCAGAATTGCTCACAAGTTGTTACATTCACCCAGATCATAACTACTTTGCCTGAAGACCAAGTCCAGTACCCTCTCTAACGAATGTGCCACGGATAGCGTTAATCGGAGTTCCTGGTGCCATTAGACTAACACTGACAGACTAGCTTCAGGAATTATTTGCCATATAACTAAAGTAACGTTACTGCGGTAGGCCCTGGTCCAAGTCCATTCCATCATTTATTTATGGTACTATGCAGACACGTTTTGATCTAATCCGATTTATAAATTACCATACTAATACCGATTATTGGTCTGCCATAATAAAACTGCCAGATTACTGGAATTTAAAATTATAACCCCTTCACCCACTGGCCCTTAGTTGAACCAGTATACTTGTATATTGGTAAGGATAATGCTTACGTTGACGAAAACGAAGATAATAATTACTATCATGATATTTTCAACGAAAATGACTATGGTTGAAGTGGGTGTTGCTCAATAGAACGCTTATTATAAATCTAACCTTATATATATATATATATATATATATATATATATATATATATATATATATATATATATATATATATATATATATATATATATATATATATATAACACTATCTGGAACAATGGATGATATTGTATTGGAATTTGAATATTTATTAGTAATGAATATTTGAAAGTCAGTATTTACTGTTTCTTTCTACCTGACACATTCCACTCTCTACGATGTGTAGTATATTGAAGTTAGTAACATATTCGCGTGTGCCCTGTGCATATTTTAATGTATTTCATTTCTATGATATGTGATGCTGAGATCGAGTATATCAATGACACTAGGATTTACTATACAAATGATGGATAATATTTTAAACCTTTGATAAGAACGATAAGGATAATTAATAACAGATAGCAGGAAACGTAAAGTCTTTCAAGAACTATCTATATATACAACCGTCAGCAAATATTTTCCGAAATATCCCTCTTTATCTAAAATATTAGCATTGCATCATCACTAGCATTCCGTTCATGAGAAACCGCTGTGTGTGTGTGTGTGTGTGTGTGTGTGTGTGTGTGTGTGTGTGTGGACACATATATGCATGCATGCATGCATGCATGCATGCATGCATGCATACATACATACATACATACATACATACATACATACATACATACATACATACATACATACATACATACATACATACATACATACATACACACACACACACACACACACACACACACACATACATACATACATACATACATACATACATACATACATACATACATACATACATGTTGCTGTTGTTGTTGTTGGGCTTAACGCCATTTTTCAGCACACGATAGGCTATTCATGGCGGCCAGTATTAATGGTGGAGGAAGAAACCGGAAATCACCGGAAAGAACCACCGACCCACGAGAAGCTACTGGTAAGCTTTCCCAAATATCCACATTCGCCGAATCCTTGACTCGAACACACGCAGAGGTGAGATGGAAGTGATCCGTAAATACATATATACATACATACATGCATGCATGCATGCATGCATGCATGCATACATACATACATACATACATACATACATACATACATACATACATACATACATACATACATACATACATACATACATACATACATACATACATACATACATACATACATACATACATACATACATACATACATACATACATACATACATACATACATACATACATCTTTCAATCAACATATTCACGTCTAGTCCCAAGATTTCCTTATGTAACTTTTGAAGCATTTAATGGATACTGAACAGGAGGATTTAAAAAAACAACAACTGATGCACTATAAGATAAAAGCAAACAAAAATTTCAATTACCGGAAACACGACTCCATCGAGAAGGTGAAATCATTTGTGCATGTATCCCAGACTGGTACTCTGCCTTTTCTACCGACTCTTTCACTTCTCACACCTTTCTCGATAATATTCAGAATCAAGACTCTGATAACGTCTTAACAACCTAGGTGATTATATTCAAAATATCCTATTCCTTAAGAGTTTGAATAGTAAAAATTTTATACCGTATGTTTTGGGGCATTTTATACCTAGGAAATGTAAGAAAGAAATATGTTTGCTTAGGTATTAAACGGTGTTTGTATGACATTATTGGCTATATCAAGCCATTGTGAGTCATCCACTGTCATTTGTAGTTTGAGGATAGTTTTACGTAAGTAAATTATTGTCAACGAGTGTCTTGGTTCTTTTCTTTGCAATATTTCTAGAAATTTTGAAATAAACAATAAACCTTTGCTTTTGGCATGTAATTTTCCGCCACTTAAGACAGCTTCAGATCATTTGGTAAAACAATTTTAACGAACATAACATAAAAATAAAACAATTAGACCAATGTATAAACTTCACAAGGGCAGCTCGATTAATCGTCTCTTATTGCACGACACACCTATATGTGCACTTGACATGTATCAGTAACTTTGACCTTCTCTATAAAACTGGCATTTTATTTATTTTAACTCCACGTAAGTTATATTGATCGCCGATAACTTGTATGGACAACGGCTTCATGATGTAATGTTTCAACAACCACGCCTTAACTACGATAACTCTCTCTCTCTCTCTCTCTCTCTCTCTCTCTCTCTCTCTCTCTCTCTCTCTCTCTCTCTCTCTCTCTCTCTCTCTCTCTCTCTCTCTCTCTCTCTCTCTCTCTCTCTCTCTCTCAGTATTTTCAAGTACTCCTTGTTATTAATTACGTCTGTATGTAATGACTACACTGGCAATGGTACAGCTTTCATGGTAACGTCAAAGTAAGATGACAAACATAATTAAATCTTAATTTTTTTACCTTCTGTAACTTCATGAAATATTTTGAGCCGGTCTTGATAACTGAGTAAGATAGAAAATAATCTTTATTTTTACAGTAATCGTCTCTTTTATTACAACATCCAGGTCAGTCAGTTGATGTGTTTAGAAATCACAAATTAATGCACAATACACTCAACACGCGACGCAGTAACAAGATAGAGAGACCAATATACATGTACATTCATTCGAATTGCATGAAATGCTATTGTCTTCGTAAGAAACCTTATATAACACTGAGGATCTCTTGGTATATGATAGGACACGTACGCATTATTTCTGCACAAAAGAAAGATAAAACATTATGAGAATGCCGGTGTTAAAAATATCAAACTCACGAATAGCATCAACAATATTGTTTTCAGTGGCATTTCAACCACACCATATCGAAAGATCGCCAAGCAAACGCAATTTATTTACCGTGTTCTGACCGCAATTATGTCGGAAATGTTTCTCTACAATAATGGTGGCTTTAAGGGCTCACGTACCAAATCAGTTCTTGAGTTAACCCATGGTATCTATACCATAATATTAAAACCATAATATTAAAACTTTCAGCGTTTACAGAAGATAGAACCATACTTGATTCCCACTTCTGTCTTGAAAAAGGTATATGACCCACTTCAGTTTTTAAAACTAAATGAGTGTCAAGGACGTATCACCAATTCCCTACTTAAGAAATAAACTACTACATTTAAGAAATAAAACTTTACATTTAATTTTGTTGTTCCTACAGCTAGCAGAAAAATAACAGTCCATCAATTGAACCGTTTCTCAATTTCATTTTAAGATTAACTTTATAGAGATGATTTTGCTATTTTTCACTTATCATTATCAACTAGTCAAGTCCTCGCAAACCTGTTTATCCCCTATTTCAACTAATTTCATCTCTATTTTTCAATATATTCTCTGTACTGCCCAGTGATTCCTAATCAAAATAAATCGTATTTCCATATTTTTTAAAATCTTTGTTGAAAATCTTAACACGAAAGTCTTGTAATAAATTGAATGTTATTTTGCTGAGGCTGAAATGAAAACCAAAGTCACGTGATATGAGTGATATATTTCACTTCCGGGATAACATACAATGCAAGAATACCTATTTTGGCACTGTACCCCAGTACACACTGAGCATCACGCCATATTCTAATGAACAAGATTTATTCACAAGACAGTAAGAAGACCGCTACAATAAAAAAATCAAGGCTCAAAAACAACACAGAGACGAATAATGCTCTAAAAATAGACAGGGACTATAACAGTCGCAATCCAAGTCCTATGTGGACAACATTTTTTATTTGTCGCCAAAGTTATTCACACCATGGTATTTGCGAGCCGCACACATTTAAACATGACTCACCAAATCTGATCAGTTTTCATTGTGTATTTGACAAACTGTCAGACACTGTAATGTTGGTCCCAGCAAGGTTGCACGTTTTGGACCATTTCCTTTGAAGATCCCACAGCTAAAATTTGTCATATGCTCCTTCGTTCCGTAAATACAGTAATTTTTTCAAAGAAGCCAGTACTTATTTCAGGCAATCTGTTTGAAATCGGGAAAATCGACAAATTTCAGTTAATATAATTTTAATTAAAACTTTGATTTTTTAAAGTTGTTCCAACCTGTACACGAAATTTGCGTACAAATCTAAAACACGAAGCGATCAACCTGTAGACAGAAAAATTGGCCAATAAATAATATTAAAAACTATGTTGGTTGGATCCATGCAGTCTTATATATATATATATATATATATATATATATATATATATATATATATATATATATATATATATATATATATATATATATATATATATAATGTGTGCCTTTTCGTCCGTGATTGACGATCGTAAAAATGAAACTAATGCCTTTCTTTTGCAATGATTGTTTGTGTGTGTGTGTGTGTGTGTGTGTGATTTGGATATCTAACGTAGCTTTAAAAAAATTTCAGCCATATCACTACGATATCTGCAGTGTGGCAGCTTATATGTAGCATGGTGTCCTAACCCAGTCACATTATCCTGACACCAGGCCGTCCAGTCCTAACGCTAGCTGTTAGTACCATTTTTGTAAGTCTTTGGTATATGACTAGGCTGGGATCGAACCCACGACCTCCTGCATCCAAAGCGGACGCTCTAACCACAAGGAAGCCGAAGTGGTCTAGTCATGATGCTAAGGAATAAGAAAGATGTTCACTTGAATTGGATTTCAAGACCTGACTTTTTGTACCAGTTCGCTGGAATTTCCATAGGAATTCTATGACCTCACCAGTCAAGTGAAGTTTGTATATAGAGATTTGGCAAATACTTGTTCATTTCTGTTTTATGGCAGTTTTTGGGAATCTAGAATCAGAGTCTGTAGTTGTGTTAAATATAATTTGAGAGGAATCATTATTTAAATTAAACATTAGAATTACAAGGTACTTTATGACTTTTTTGATAAACACTACTTTGGGATTATTGAGTGTGTGATGTAGATTTTTGAACATAGCATTAACAATTTTGGTCGTTTTGCAGTGTTGCAGTCTATAGCGATGACTAGTAATGGGGCGTCATGCGCATTAGAGTCATAACAGCAGCTTATTACTGCGCAGCTTTTAATATCGGCATCTGTCCGCCATGAGTTACATTGTTCTATTTTTAATCAATAATTATGTATCACTGAATGGGTGGAAATCTATAAGCATACATACATCTACTGGATGAGACACTAGTCCTATGTTTTGTAAAAATCCTATACTTTGATAAAATTGGTTATAGATGAAGCATTATTCATATTTATTTCATGTTGATTCTTGTTTGATCACTTCCTTTCTGAAGATATATGTTCCAGATTAGTTCCTTTTACAAATGATACAATTTTTTTTATTATTTTCTTGAACACTGTGTGCATCTGTGAAACACACTGTTGGACTTTATGTACACGAGACTGCTCCTGGATTCATTCATAGTTCAATTACATTATACATTAGCATACTAATAATGTTTTAGTGTTTTCGCTAAACCCATCCCCAGCCCTGCTTTATCCTCTTATTACAGTGCCAATGATTCTCTTCTGCCATGTCCCAAATACCAGAACATTCTTGAAGCAAGACAATCTATTTTTTAATGTCAGCTATCACTTAGATGTCAAGTGAGCTTTTAAAAATAACATTTAAGTATTCAAGCACATAAAAACATAATGACATCTGAATGAGTAGACGTATATTACAGTGACATTCAATGTCAAAACATGATGTAACTATTAGCATATTTTTAAAATTTTGTTCAGTCATTTATATGTTGAATAACTACAGTTTGGATGAATTGCAGAGTACTAAATTTAAAGATATCATCATAGATAATTATATGGGGAAATGACACTTTGTTTTTCAAGTGTATGCAACCTGTAAAGAACCTGACCAATCAGCTACAGGTACAATGTGAACTTTGACTAATCAGCTAGAGGTACAATGTGAACTCAGACCAATCAGCTACAGTTACAATAAGAACTCCGACCAATCAGCTACAGATGCGACTAAATGCTAAACTCTGATCCTAACATAGCCTAACAAAGATTTATATTTTATTCATGTGGGACAAGTAACTATTAAGTCACATTATATACAGTTAATTCAAATGGACATGTGTGCATTTATACGAGTGTTATTTACCAATTGTGAAGGAAAAAAGTTCATGTCAACGTGATATCAGCTTTTATCGCAATGACGCACTTTGTTAATCAAGCCGTCATAGTCAATTGTCAATCTATCTTTGTCAACAGTCAGTATATCACTGTCAATTATTATATTAACCAAATTCAACATCAAAACGGGATGCATTTTGTTATGTTTTCCTAAATCGATGTTAATAAGACCAGAGGAAAGCATATTTTATCCCGTTGAGATGTGTTACTTTTCACATTTTATTAATTTTTGTGATAGTTTGAATTGGCTTAGGAGACAGACAAAATGGAATGGAATATAGAGTAGAATGGAATATAGAATGGAATGGCCTATAGAGTGGAACACCCTATATAATGGAATGGATAATAGAGTAGAATTGACTATAGAATAGAATGGACTATTCGCTATAGAATGTGTTTAGAATTTGCATTTTTAATGTGAGGAAGAATTGAGTTGGGCGATAAAAAGTGAGCAGAAATACTCAAAATGTCACCTTACTTTATCCTGCTACAATCTACAGTAAGAAAAGCATTATACAGGGCAGAGCATATATTCAATTAATTAAATAAATTTAAACTATCAAAACATACAATTTAAATTTTATAAAAAAATTATATTGAAATATTCACGAAGTGAAGGAATTTTCAGACTCATGTCTGTAGTTGTCGGTTGAAAATTATATATATATATATATATATATATATATATATATATATATATATATATATATATATATATATATATATATATATATATATATATATATAAATATATATAAATATATATATATATATGTATATATATATATATGTATGTATATATATATATATATATATATATATATATATATATATATATATATATATATATATATATATATATATATATATATATATATATATATATATATATATATCATGTACCCACCTCCATCCCTCTTCTATTAACCACTAACAGGACTCGATGAAGAATTATTTTCCTATATTTTGCGCATTTACTTTACAGTGCTGAACTTTCCATTGTGTCCAATCCAAATTAAATGATATTAATAAGAAGTATATTCCTATAAAAACTTACACTAAATTCTTTGCGTTGGTCATCTTTTAGAAAGGTTGAACTGTTAATAAAGCAATGTGTCATGGATTACATATTTCACTTCCGGGCACTTCTGGAGCATTTTTCTCTAATGTTTTTTTTTCTTAAGTTTCTCCCTGGTTATTAGAAATAACATCATATTAGGGATCAAACACTAACGCTCTGATATCCTGTAAATGGTGATAAAATTAAAGTCAGGTATAATGCTTGTCGTGACTTTCGCATCTAAAAAAAAACGAAACTGTACGTTTCCATATGTAAATTATTACCTTATATACTAACTTATAAGTCAAAAACAATTAAAAACTGCACAATGATATGATGTCCCATAGTGTGCCTGCAGGTCTGGAATAACGACGTTTATTAGGAGTAATCAGCGGAATAAAATACATAAACACTGATCTGCCGGCACGCTAAGTCATTGTAGAGTGTCTGTGTTGTTTGCAATTAGACTCGACTTATATCTGCTTATATACCGTGGTTTATGCTGTATTTTCCTTTGCTCATGGAGCAATAATTCTTAGCTACACCCTTCTCGAATTGAGAATCCTCTAGATACAACAACCAACAGTGCAAACTAGATTAAACAATATACAAAACAGAAATCAAGTTGCACCTTAAATCACTTTCAGATTTTTTTGCAACCGTTTTAATTTATAGTTCATTTCTGACACGTATTCCAGTCATGCATTTACAGGTGATTCACAAAATTAAACAGTTAAAGATAACGCCCATTTGATCTCATAGTGGCATTACCCACATGGATGGTCTGCATGATAGTTTAAATTAATCGTGCATAAATTGCTGTGTGAAAGCATTTATCGGAGCTCGGGTGGAGAGGGTTAAACTGGTACCCGAGGGAAGAGTTTGAGTTTAAGGGTTCAAAGTCCCTTTCGAGTGATCAAGAACAACTTGTATTTAGCAACTTGTGTGGTCGTTATCCTTGTGTGACATTTACATATATACTTGCAATACTGCTGTTTTCGAAACTGTATTCATTTATTAGGATCACAAAAGCATATTTTGCCTAAGAACTGCAATCGTATAAATTGCTACTTTAGTCGTGTAACACAAGAGAAACAAAGCAACCTGAGTATCAAAACGATCGAAAACAACATCACATTGTCATACAGATGTTTTACTTTCTTGATAGAGAAGCATGGAAACCATGTTGAATATATAGTTTGTATAAACCTATCAAGGTTGACCGATGCTTAATTATCTGTTGTGAAGACTGCATTACATAGACACAAACAGTAAATGAAAAAGTTAACAAATTTGTTAACGTTATTTATCTCCACTATATTCAACACGTTTTTTTTTTCCACAAGGGCTTGTATCGTGGCTGACAATTGACCGGTCATACATGTACTATGCAATATAGTACATGTATGACCGGTAAAATTGTCGGCAACGGTACAAGCCCCTGTGGTTTTTTCACCGTGCTTTGGTTCTGTTACGTCATGTATTTTCAAGCACGGTTACTCTGATAAGGATTATATAAGATTTGTTTCGTGTAAACGAGCAAAGGCACAGGAACGGCGTTTGAGGTCGATGAAACATGGTTATGGCAGATCGCGTGTGGTCGTTAATATGAAATTACCAATAAAATAAACGAATGAATATTTTTTTTCACGAATGGTCGACAGGGTCAGTAGCAAATTTTGAAGGTGAGGATGTGTTGACTGAACCCATTTATAAATACCAGTATTGAGAAATATGGTCATTTTACGTAAACAGGAATCAGCATTTTGAAACTCATAACTCTTACGAAAAAATGTTGCATCCTTCCACGTAAAATAAAACAGGTTATTCGAAACATAAATTTAAAAAAATACAAAGCAAGTGCATAAGTGTAATATAGGAGTCCGGGGTTTGAGTACAGCTGGCATGACAAATTTGCATGTGTGAAAAAACTGCGTTCACACACACACACACACACACACACACACACACACACACACACACAAACACACACTGTTTCAGTTTTTATATAAACTATACGTGTTTTTATTATGACGACGAGTTCAAGTCATTCTTAGTGATATGAAAATGGACCTCCCGCGACGACTCATGATAGCTGCATCACTAACAGCAGCTTTGTCAACATTCTTAATTTTTAATTGGAGACGTAACTTTGACTTGCTACACTGATGTACTGATCTGTACAGGCGAATGAATTGTAGCCACAAAGAGAACAATCGTCCATCCTATTGTGAAAGTTGTTCACAATAAAAAGTTCACTGCAATCCTATATTATTGATTATTATAATTCGCTGATGAAATGTGAGCACAGTTTGAACATTAAACAAGAGGTTTGTTGAGATATTTCGACCATGAAAATTCGACATGAAATCTAAATCATTGTTAATGTTTATCGTATCTAAATAAGGAAGTTTTGTAGAGA